CTTCCCTTCAGCACGTTTGTATTTTTTTTCTTCCATATCCTTATCTCACACATTTTCATTTCAACCAAAATACACATTGGAAACACATACTAATACAAAATACACACTAGTATAACACTATGTTAGTAATTTATTGCTGAAAGCAGAATGACTCTAGACATTGGTGTACAGATATAGTTAGTACTCAGCTCACGAACAACTGAAATTCCAAAAGAATTCAATTGTTTGGAACTGTAGATGCTTTCCTGCATAAAGATGATGCTATAAATGTTTTTCTGGGTCCCAAAATAGCTGATTTAACTCACAATGTAGCTGACATGTTCTTTCCTACATACATAATAATACAAAATGTAGAAACCAAAGCTTTTGCCCCCTCTGGCTCAGATTTCCTGCTGTAAACCATCCCACAATCCCAGTTGTTTTTGGCATACATTCTTATTTAGTTTCCACTAGCATCGCTCTAAAGTTTATTTCTAATAAAATATACTGTTGTTGTTGTGTGCCGTCAAGTTGCTTGCAACTCATAGTGACCCTATGTACAACATCCCTAAACTCTGCTCTGTCCTGTGTCAATCGCACTGTCTCTGACACACCCATCCCGATTATCCCAGTCACTGAATCAATCCACCTCATAGAGGGCCTTCCCCTCCTGCGCTGTCCCTCCACTCTACCAAGAATGATGTCCCTCTCCAAAGACCAGTCCCTCCTTACAACATGTCCAAAATACATTAGACGGAACCTCAGAATCCTTGCCTTCAAGGAACGCCCCTATTTAACCCTTTCCAGGATGAATCTCTTTGTTTTCCTAGCAGTCCATGGTATCCTCAATACTCTTCTCCAGCACCACAGCTCAAAGGCATCAATTCTCCTTCTATCTTCCTTAGTCATTTTCCAACTCTCTGTTGCATAACAAGTGCTAGCAAAGACCATGGCCTGTATCAGACGCACCTTAGTCTCCAGAGAGACACATTGCTCTTCAGTACTTTGGAGAGCAGACTTTCCCATGGCAATACATCTTTTAATCTCCTGGCTACTGGTGCCAAGAGTGTTGACTCTGGAGCTAAGCAAACTAAAGCTGTGAACAGTAACTGTGGGGTCCCCAAGACTGTGCAGGATCCGTTTGGGCCCGAGACATATCTACACACCAGTTCTACAGGACACACCACCTTTGCTCTGGAAACATTACCCCTAATTTTAAGAGACACTGATCACAGCATAAGAAACTATCAGCAGTTGACATGTTTGGAACCACAGAAGTCAAGGAAGCTTCAGATATAAGCTATCAGATCAAGGGCTGGACAATGGGAGATGGATGTTGAAGGGAGTGGGTAGAAGTGGATGGGTATCATGGTGGATGGTGGAGCAGGGAAATAAGTGGGTAAAGACACGTGTGCCAAAGGCAGGGACAACACTGATACTAATGGTTAATTCCACAATAAGGGATATATCCTTCACTTTTTCTGTAAAATGCTGGTCTGTCTGATACTTCTCTAAATCTGAACATTCAGATTAAGACAGACTAGGAAGAAGGATTGGCCATCCACTTCTGAAGTAGCAGGCCTCTGAAAAGCCTATGTACAATAAAATATACATGATTAAAATTGGAAGAGAGATAAAATGTCAAAGGGAAGAGGGAAGTGAACATTTAGTTTAGAAATCTGGTGGAAAGTTGGTACCCACCTTTAAAAAACAAACAAAAAAATTACTTCTTTCTGATATGCTTCTATCTTCCTCCTTCCTCTTCTGTTCAACAACTCTCCCAAATACATTTTTGCTAACGCTGGTCTGTGCTATAATGAAATTTTTTCACATCTCATTCCATTCCTTATAGCTATAGCTGAAAGGAGTTTTCAAATGAAGGAAAATAGATTGATTAATGGCAAAAAATATTTGTTTCATGAATATGCTTTTGAGATGAAGGAGACAAAAGGTGTACAAACAGCAAAGACCTGTTCCCCAAAGTCAACCTAAGTTTAGTCTTTCCCAAGTGGTGAAACACACAAGAAGCAGCTGACTTTCTTGAGGGTAGCCTTTTAGGAACAACATCAAGCACAACTCTAAAGGGCTTCTGAGTCTCCGAAATTAAAAAAATTCCTCTGTTCTCTAGGGAATGTGTGTGTGTGTGTGTGTGTGTGTGTGTGTGTGTGTGCGCGCGCGCGTGTGTGCGCGCGTGCGCGCATTCCTATACTCACATATATGTGCAAGCACACAGGCATGTACACTCCTCTATACTTTTACAGAATAAAACATATACTTACTTTTGACCATTACCTTACCAGTCTGCATATCCTTTACCAAACTCTTCTTTGTTCTCTCCTTTTTATTAATGTTTTCAAAGATCTGATACTCTCTTTCATGCTAGTACTCAGACTCGCAGGGCAAAAAAATGAAAGGCTTATGGATTTCAGTCATTCTTTTGGAGTTGATTCTGGCATAACTTCAAATACTGATCAACATAATCAGAGATGCTAGTTTCCAGGCCCAGTCAACAAATATTTATTGAACACTTGCAATCATAAAACTGCTTTATTTCATGGGGAGACACAATGTGAAAAATAAACAAAAATTCTACTAATTAATTTCACCTCTGAAAAACTAATGTTGTCAAAGAGAAAACATACTTGGCAAATAGAATATTTTTGTTCTAAGATTTCAGAGTAAAAAAAAGTGTTTTAGGGAGTATGGATATGAGATGGCAAACTGATACTTTTGGAGCACTATCTAGAGAGGGCTTCACTGGGCAGATAAATGATCAACTCTTAAAGGAACCAAGGGTGCCTGTATTAACTGGGGAAGAGGATACTAGGAAAGAGAAGGGTGTGCAGTATGAGCACACCTGATGCATTTGGGAGAGGAGGAGAAGACCAGTATGACTATAGAGTAGAATAACATGAGGTCAGAGCTCACAGCATGTCAGATTGGGTTTAGCCATGTTAAACATCAAAAGAGCAAACACTTTTATTTCAGATGCTATGAGGACCCGTTGTCAGATTCTGAACAGAGATGGCCCTTAAGTGACTATGGGACCTTTTGTAGGCCACTGATAGATAACTATGGCTCTAAAATGCAAATGCGGTGCTAGGTTACTAAGAATTCTTTAAGCTACGAAAATGGATTACTGGACATCTATAGAAGATTAGGTTTCCACAGGCAGGTAGTTAATACAAAGCATTACCAAATATGTCACTTTCTTCTTTTTTACTGCTGTGAAAATTAACAGTAGTGACCCAAGAATGGCAGAGAAAGATGCCTAGGTGCATCAGGTGTCTATTTTACATAGTGGGGCTCAGACTACATATTCTGTGAATGGAACATCAATATATTGGCATGTGGAGAGATGGGCAATGATTATGGTGACTCCTAGAAGCTCTTGGGAATGTCTTAAGTGGGAGTGACAAAATCAACTGTGCATTTATCAGCCTGATTTTCCTCTTCCTGCTCAGGGACCTAGGAGTCACTTGTAGGAAAGAACAATGAAGAAGAAAAAATCAGGCATATTTGTTCCATATGTTGTTGCTGTTAAGTGTCATCAAGTCATAGATGACTCATAATGACTCCATGAATGAAAGACCTGAACACTTGCATAACTTTCATCGTTTCTCCATGTTCATAGAGTTTCCAGAGACAAACCATTTCAGAAGTGGATGCCACTCCTCACCCAAGCTTGTTTTAATCTGAGAGCTCCAACAAACTATCTGCCATGGGTAACCACTATCACATTTGACACATCAGTGTCTTAGTATTTAGCATCACAGCAACCACATGTTGCCTCTGTACAGCAAATGCACAGACCAGTGCTCTACCATTTAGAAGAACATTTGACAAAAACAAAACAAAAAAACAAAACACAAAACCAAAACCAGGTCTGAGGGCTGCAGATTAAAATTGCCCACCTTGGACTTGGTAGCATAACTTTCTGTTCACTACTCCAACCTAGCTCTGTCTACATTGTCCATATTAAACAAAAATCTAAAACCAAGTATTTTTATTTTATTATTTCATATCATGCATATAGTGTTCATTTTCAAGTCTGTTTGCTTCATTTCTATGAACTATGTTAACTTTCAATGGTTTCCCCCAGCATGTTTTCTGTCTAAATACAAAAAAGTGTGTGCCTTTATTTCAGTCACCTTTATCTTCTCTCCTCCTTTGACCATCTAGTTAAAAATCCTATGGCAATTTTACGTAGTATGAAATCCAAAGCCTTCACATTTTTTATATGTACAATTCATTGGTGAATAAGTAATCCTGCAATGGTCCATTTGCTAGCTTACCAGAGAAGATCTATATCTGGTTCATCTACTTTTAAATGTAAATTTATAAATAAAATTATCATTTTTAAGCATGCCTTGGAATTCTGTACTTCTCAGAGTTTTGGAGGTTTTTGGTTTTTGTTCCAGTCATACACTGACAAGTGCATAACCATTTTATTCTCTGCAAAGTCTGATGCTTACACTGTAATAATATGAGAGATGTCCTAGAAAATAGTAAATAAGCACAAATTCTATTTTGTGCATAGTAAAGAAGGACTAGAAGATCAAAAATCTATTTTATGTCTAATTCCAGCACTATTTCTGAAACCTATAGATGTTCCATGGATGTTTGTTAAAGGACCTAATGAAGAGCGAGTGAGTGCAAACACCAATGAATCATGAGTTTCATTGCCTGAGTCTATTTCAGATGATTTGTTATTGTTAAAGTACAAACACGACCCAGAAGCCAATGTGTATGTGAGAGAGTCTGCAAGGTATGAGGTAACCACAGCCAAAAACACAAACTAGTTCTACCCAGATGTGCTCACAAGAGCTTCAGATCAACACAAATGCAGAAGGGAGACCAATTCTCTCCCTAGATAATTTCCTTTTTACAGTCTTTGTTATTCTCAGTAACTGAATCCAGACAGAAAGAATATCAGACAAAAGCTATCACAATTTCACTATAACCTTCCCCTGAAGAAGAGGCATGTTTCTCACCACAGATGTTAGAAGAGTATGTCTTACCTCTGCAGCAGGGACTCCCTCTGGGGGGCGGCAGTGCAGGACAATCATGCCTTCAATGGGAACCTCCCTTCCTTGAGGATCTTGTTCAAAGTTTTTCCGTAAGTCTGTAAAGAAATGAGATACATGACACTGGGTTGAGGTCCAGTATTATCCACATTTACTGACAGAATAAATACTATAAAACAGTGAGCTTAATGCCACAAGCCACACATACACACAGAGGGAGAGGGAGAGGGAGAGGGAGAGAGAGAGAGAAATGTAGGCTTTCCAGAGTGAGGGGAAACCAATATTTCCCCCCCCCAGAATATTCAGAAACAAGTTAAAAAAAAAACACAACTTCTAACAAAATCTTTCTAATGCTTTCTATTTATGCAAAAGGGGAAAGAATCATTGAGGGTGTAGAGTAAAGGAAAAAGAGAAATTAAATACTCATTATTTCATGAGTCTTTGCCATCATTATCTGCTTAGCATCTAATGAAACACTCAGTCTAGTAAATTACCATCCACAGCTATTATGCTGTTGAGCTGTTCATGTACTGTTGTTGTTGTTATTGTTTTAATTAACTAAAGAAGGCATTATCAATCTATAACCTCTGCCATTCCCACAACCCTCTAAGGGGCTCTAGAGGATCATAATAGCGTTGAGATTACATATTAGTCTTTATTTGTAACCAGAGAGAAGGGGAAACATTTGACCACATAAAATCTATAACCTGTCCAACCAAACATATCATTAAAAAACACAACGCCCTCCAGTCAAGCAACAATGCCATGTATCTGTGTAGTGTCCTTCATGGAAGGCTTGAAGCACTTTGCAAACAAGCTGCACTATTAACCTTTTACACATGGAAGAGCGAAGCTTGGAGAGGTTAATTGGCCTGCCATTGGTCACAGACAGCATCAGGGGTAGCAGTGGGAAAAAATTCATTCTGCTTCCTGAAGTCCAGTCTCCCCTGCTAATCAGTAATACCTCCTTGTCATGGAAAAAGACACACATAGACAGTAGAGAAAGAGCTTCATTTGCATTGCTTTCCACTTGAGCATATGCTTCATTAAAAAAGGAGGGGAGTTGGCCTTTGCTTCTTTTGAGGTGTCATGACAACACATTGATAATTTCACAGCACAAGCATAATTCTTGCTGTCACTTGACAGCACAGGATAGCAGAATTAAGACAAGTTGTTTACAAGTCTTCCTCAAAGTAAAAGATTTCCTCCTCCCTCCACGACAATGTATTTTTCTTCAAATTGAGTATCTCAAATTATGGGCTGTGGATTTATTGATTTAATTTTCTTCAGTGCTTACAATAACATGAAATATGTTCCCTGTAAAGAGCAGAGCTCGAGAATCAGTTACATCTTTATAAATTTTATAAATACATTAAACTAGCTTTTAGCAAGTCAAAAAACACTCAATGAATAACAAGCACAGTAATCCATGAATCCACTTTCTTCTGAAGTTTACCCTTAATGTTTTCCCTATCAGAGGCATCCAATGTCTTCTGTCAGGAGGACTGTCTATATGGATGTATTCATTAGTACAGCTGAGGCAAACATTTTAAAAGGACTTGCATTAGAGGCAGGTGGATGATCCATCTTCTCATTTTTCTCCAATGTCCACCAAGTGGTAAAGCCAATTCTCTGGTATTTGATATTTGTAAAGTGCTTTTGGGATTGGAAACTTGTACTCAAAGTGTGGGTAAGGCCATATAAATGGTGGAGAAACTCTAAGTAAAGATGATTTGAGTGGAGGTACTATGTATAAACCTTTAATCAGGTTCATTTTCTCAACAATATGACCACAGATTCTCATCTGTTGTCTCCTAAGGTTTCTTCATGTCAGAAATCCTTCTCTACAGGACATTTTTATTCATCAGGATGATATTAAAATTAGTCTGGAATTAAGTGAGGTGTACCTAGGGCTACAAATGCCTAAGAATCAGAAGGTTCAAATGTTCCCGGTGACACCTCAGAAGAAAAGCCTTGTAAAAGCTACTGAAATCCACACAGAGCTCTGCCACCCAAAGGATTACTAGAGTCAATTCAACGACATATGAAAATGGTGAGGATGGCTCTAACAAGCAAAAGATCAGTTTGCCAATGGAAATGCTTGTGTTTCTGTAGCTTATGTTATTTTTATTTATTGTTTTGTCATATATAGAAATTACCACTTCCTACTAAATGATGATTGCTGCAAGATGTTGTTGTTAGGTGCTATTGACTCCTATGATCCTATGAAAAAGTTATCTAAACCATGCCCTATTTTATGTCATCCTCATGATACATGATATATTAGAGACAACTGTTATAGTCACTGTTTCAATCTTTATGAGGATGGTCTACTCTTTCTCTGACCTTTCAATTTTCCAAGTATCATGTCCTTTTCCAAAAACTGGCCATCCTAACAACATATCCCATGTATGTAAGGTCAAGCTTAATCATCCTTTCTTCCATGGAGTACCCTGCTTGCAATTCATCCAACATAGACTTGTTTGGTTTTTTTGCCAATCCCTGAGATATTCAGTATTCTCTTCCAATATTACAACTTAAAGGTATTGTATAAAAGGCAGGTATAATGTAGAGATGGCCAAGTCTGACCTCTACCCACTTCATTAAGATGATCTGTCCCCATTAATAATATCCATGTTGTTTGTTTTGTGTACAATTGAGTCAGAACTGACCCATAGCTGACTCCTTAGTGAGTTTAGAGGCAGTTAATTGTATGGGGGGAAATTATTCATTTTCCCGCAGAGCAGCTGGTGGACCTGAAGTGCATGTCTTTGCGATTGCAGCATAGCTTCTTGCCACTAGGCCATGGACAATCTCCTGTGCTAATAACTGCCTCTGAAAACCCAGCAGAGGATCATTTATGGGTCAGATCTGACTTGATAGCACACAACAACAACAACAGCATAATATCCACAATACCATACAAATAACTACATGGTCAGACATGCCACCCCATATGTTCCAGCACCTATTTCTATCAATCATTGGGTCCAATTTTCACTGCAAACTGCCTCACAGGCTTTACTCACAGTCATGGTGTTTATTAGAGAAATAGACTGAGGAGCTGGGGAGGCAGAGAATATCATGCAATGCAAGTCCAGATTTAGTCCGACAGTCCCAAACCAGACTGACAAGACACAATTATTCAATTAGTTCTGACAGCTTCTCAGTCAACAAGTGAAAGTCTAGATTCAGTTAAGCAGCACAAATGTACCTCTAGGCTCCTCAATTGTCTAACAAACTTTGTCTCAGAGTAGTTATAAATCAGCTTTTCATTAAATCATCCAGGAAACAAAACCTTTAACTGTGGCTGCATCTCCAGGGTTCCTCTGGCAACAGCTTGCCACAATTATGTCACAACAGTACCACAATCTCTTCACCCTCTTTCCACCATCATCTCTTACACTGTCTTCATTGTCTCCTATAGTGTGGAAAGTGCTCTCCCTTTTATTGGTTCCACAGCTGTTGATGATTTGCAAGATCATGTGTCCATAGTTAAGGTAGCTAGGGACGTGCTTCATAAGGTTGATAATCGTATGGCTGGCCACAAAAGCCAATTTTCAAGGGTTGTAACAGCACAGACATCAATTATTTTGTCATACTTATTCATTATCCAACTTTCTCATGCATAGGAAGTAACTGAGAAGACTTGAACAACATGTAATAAATAGACAACACATAACAATCTGTATTCAACCAGAGATGGTTGTTGCTGCTATATATAACCAAATTTATCCAACTTACAACTCACTTCCCAGTAGGTTTTTGTTATTGTTGTTACATGCCTTCGAACCACCTGTGACCCATAGTAATACTATTTACAATAGTTCTGAAACCTGCCCTATCCTGAGCCAGTCTCACTGATTCCAACACAACTACCCCCATTGCCCTAGTCACTGTATCAATCCACCTCATCTGGGTCTTACACTCCTGTGTTGTCCCTCCACCCTTCCAAACATGATGTTCTTCTCCAATGACTAGTTCCTCTGGCCTAGGTGTTGAGAGTACGTGAGACAGAGCTTAAAAATTCTAGCCTCTGAGAAGAACCTTGGTTTCACCTTCTTCAGGATAGAACTATTTGTTTCCTGGGCAGTTCATGGCAGTTCGTGGGATGTTCAAGACTCCTCCTCTCCAGCACCACAATTCAAAGGTATCCTTTTTTTGACAATCTTAGTCGTTGTCCAACTCTTTAATGTATAGCAAGTAATTGCAAAGACCATGGCCTGGATCAGATGCACCTTAGTCTCTAGACTGACATCATTGCTTCTTAGTACTTTAGAGAGGTCCCTGACAAGGTTTTCTCAGTGCAATTTGTCTTTGGATTTCCTGATTGCTAGTGTCAAGAGGGTATATTGGGGAGCCAAGAAAGCGGTAATTGTTAACAACCTCAATCTCTTCCTCATCTACCATGCTGCTGCCAATTGGCCCAGTGGGAATCTTTGTCTTCTTGATGTTGATCTTCAATCCATATTGAAGACTACAGTCCTTGACCTTCTACAGCAAGTGCTTCAGGCCAGCCTCAGTTTCAGCAAGCAAGGTTGTGCCATCTGCATAACCTAGGTTGTTGATGAGTCTTCTTTCAATTCTGATGCCACATTCCTCCTCATAAAACCCAAGTTTCCAAATGATGTGTTCTGAATACGGTTTGAAAAGGTATGGGGAAAGGGTGCATCCCTGATTCACTCCTTTCCTGATTTTTGAACCATGAAGTGTTTCCTTCCTCTGTTCTGAAGACTGCTTCCTGGTCTGAGTATAGGTTTTGAATGAGCACAATCAAGTGTTCTGAGATTTCTATTATCTTCCAAGTTATTGTTGTTGTTGTTAAGTGCTGTTGAGTTGCAGGTGACTCATAGAGAACCTATGAATGAAAGTCCTGGACACCTCCTGTATAACTTTCATCCTCTCTCCAGGTTCATAGGGTTTCCAGAGGCAAGCTATTATGGAAGTGGATACCACTCCTGCTTCCAAGCTTGTTTTAATTGGGAGCTTCACCAAACACTGTCACCATGGCTAGCCATTCTCGCATATGACTCATCAGTGTCATAGTGTTCAGCTTCACAACAACCACGAGTTACCTCTGTACAGCAAGTGGACATAC